ATAGTAGAGAAATCTAGCTGATGTTTAAATAAACATTCAATAAACACAGCCACAGTTGTGAAATCTAGCTGATGTTGAAATAAACATACAATAAACACAGTCACAGTAGTGAATTATATCTGATGTTTAAATAAACATTCAATAAAAAAACCAAAGAAGAGAAATCTAGATGATGTTTGAATAAACATACCATAAACACAGGCACCGAAGTGAGATCTAGCTGATGTTTAAATAATTATACAAAAAACACAGCCACAGTAGTGAATTATATCTGATGTTTAAATAAACATTCAATAAAAAAACCAAAGAAGAGAAATCTAGATGATGTTTAAATAAACATACAATAAACACAGTCACAGAAGTTAAATCTAGCTGATGTTTAAATTAAACATAAAATAAATAGAGACACAGTAGCGAAATCTAGCTGATGTTGAAATAAACATATAATAAACACAGCCACAATGGAGAAATATATCTGATGTTGAAAAAAAACATTCAATAAACACAGCCACATTAGTAAAATCTATCTGATGTTGAAAGAAACATTCAATAAACACAGCCAAAGTAGAGAAATCTATCTGATGTTTAAATAAACATTTAATACACACAGCCACAGTAGATAAATCTAGCTGATGTTAAAATAAACATTCAATAAACAGAGCCATAGACGAGAAATATAGCTGATGTTTAAATAAACATACAATTTTCCTTGACGCTTATAAATAGTGCTAAAATTTCATTATACTTCAATGCTTAGTTAGAAAGTTCATACAGACCAACAGCTATATTTATACACCTACAATTTGAACATACATGTCCAATACAATGTACATCCACATGTAAGGTTTCTATGCACGATTATACATTACAAACAAAGTAAACCTACTTTATCATATTAAAATTTTATGCATGGGATGCTTGCACCAATTAATAAAGAATTCGGAACGAATGTCACTTTCTTGTTTAACTATATTGTACAACAGGAAACAGAAAAAGAAATAGAAAATGTCACTGCGAGTACATAAACCAGAGTGTGACGAGAACTACAGCCCCTGATATTCTTGTCAATCAAACAACAGCGGAGCATCGACAAGAACATCAACCAATCACCGCGAGGGCCCACCTCTCTACCGCGCGTGATTGACGGGTATATCAACCAATTAAATGGCGCCATTTTCAACATCAACCAATCACCGCGAGGTATCTTAACACATATTGTATATCAATTACATCATTCACACGGCGTTATGTTTTATCTGTATATGTATTTGAAAATGATTAATAATACTACTGGAACTATGAGTAAAATGTACTGATACCTAATATATTACGTTAATACAGAGAAGGTCTCTGGTTATGATATAAACGAAACCAAAAAAAGAATACCTTTAGTTTATATATTATTCTCATTGTCATGGCTGACCTGAAGCAGAAACGTATATACTACTTACGGCTATATATGTCTCTGTCTGAAGACAAGTAATACAATATTCAATATTAATTCAGATAATTCATATACTTAACAACCGGATACGCTCTACCTTTTAGATAAGAAGTTTCATTGGTTCGAAATTTTAGTAATCACAGGTTCGTTAGACGAGAGCAACTGTTTAGACTACACACCAAAGTCGTATATATTGTCATATNAGGAATGCCTTAACAATATATACGGTTTCGTGTTTCAACATATAAACCATGATTTTTACGTATGTTTCTATATTCTACCTACACCTATAAAGCTATCTTTATATCTTTACTTTCTTAAATTTAGAAATTGTGTTTTTGGTATTTTTTAAACGACCTTAATCGACACCTGTGAAATCACAACACAGTCCCGTATACAGGTAAACATAGCCACTAGCCGTCTACATGTACCTGGACGGTAGTTTTCCCACGCCCGGGGCGCTTACGTATTTCGTCGGGTAGGGTNTGCTGTTTTAGGAAGTTAACAGGAGTACCTTGGATACCAGATTTGTTACTCATTAGGTTATTCATGCAAAAGATATATTGTTGAAATGTAAACATACATTGTTGAAATTCATACATTCCGATGACGTCACGTTGTTGACTGAAAGGACGGCTGGATTTTGTGTTCATTTACATACGTTTAATGGATATTCTTACGACAGTACAGGAAAGATAAAGTTCCATTTAATTACAATTATATAAGTAATGATTAAAAAAACCAAATATGAATAAAATACATTTATGTTAAATACAAAAGAAATTAAAACCTTAGAGCACAGGTGATCGGGAACCCCTTACTAAGAATCACAAAACTATTAACAACATTAAAAACGATTGAAAGGTATATGAAGCAAAGTAGGAACGTAAACTGTCTTAACATATATATATACAGGGGTTCGTTTATGAACATTTACACAATCGGTTCATCATTTGCTAGAATTAATCAAAAAATACTGGACAATTAGCACCTCGGACCGAACGGAGCCGGGGGATATAGTTTACGTAATATAAGTTGTATACGACATCGGGACGTACTTATCGTTCGTTATTAAATATCGTTAATATTGAGAGTTCATATTGTGTCTTTGATTATACTGGCTTTATGTGTCTCTGGAGTGATGTATCAAAGCACCAGTTCAGCAATATGGTAAAAAATATTAATCATTCTCAAATGGTCGTTCATTTCGATCCTAACCCTGGGCGTTGTACAAAATAAGCATTATTTCCGTATTTATTTCATTCGAAGTAAATATAAGTGTACTATCGACCTGTGTTATTATATCGTTTGGATTACGAAATTAGAGCGGCCGTGTTTGCATAGCTATACTGACAACACGGCCAGCAAGGTAGGGACTATATACTGCCTCACCTGTACGGGCTTCGCCGGAGCGCGGCTACATCAAAGGGAATACCGCTGCGCGAGTGAGCGGGATAACGACTTAATTTTCGGGCGCCAATGACTAGTTTTCGGGAACAAAGGCACAATTTAAATGAGGTGTTATGTTCCTGAAAATTGATTGTTGTTCCTGTAAACTAGTCCATGTCCCGATAACTTGGATATGGTTTTTAAATTGAAATGGTGCTCCGCTAATTTAGAGAGTGTTCCGTAATTTGGGCCATGCAGATATGATTTAGATTGTACATAATTAAGTTAGCCCATGCATATATTATTTAGATGGTACGTCATTAAGTTAGGTCATGAATTTATTATTTAGATTGTGTTTTGTAAAATTCAATGCTAATTGAAGTAAACTGGTAAAATTAGAAAGATTAAGTTGTAGAATTGATTGTTTTGTTGTTTAGTGTTTCCCAATGGCTGATGCTGAAATAAACGCATAATTTTCACAAATAAGATACTTTTGACACAGTGTTGCTGTTCACTACATTTCACAATGACTTATAACTATTTTAAAACCCTGACCTGCCATTGAGCTCTCGTTGTAATAGTGTGTTCTTAGTCGTACCGGGGTCATACATACTTCAAGCTTGAATAATTCCTATTCATGATCAAACTGAAATAAAATAACAATTATCATAATCAAAGGTATTTTTCGTTTGCGTAGAAAATATCAATAGAAAAGCAATTCCGCGACTGCAAACATCTCATAAACCTTAAAACATAGGTTTCCCAAACATCGCTAAAATATACAATGACATGTGGTACATTATTATTTATAAATTTAGCGGTATGTATTCTGAATACATATTCAGGCTAAGCTACGAAACAGATAGAAGATAACAAAGATGATACTAACAAAATATATAAAGAAATATTTACATATTGTATATGGAGTGCAGGACGAGGAATAGTGATTGAAGTAAGGAAAACATATGTCAAGGAAACAAGATCAGATCGAATACCAGACAAAATATGCAATAAGCACATAAACACACCCATACAAATCCACACAACTTTTAACCTTCTATTAACCTCCAAACCGATCCAACCCATCCCCAGCCAACCCCTCCAACATTATCGACAACCTACACATATCCCTACCTATCCACTCCCATCAACAACCCACACATATCCCTACCCATCCAACCTTATCGACAACCCACACATATTCCTACCCATCCAACCCATCGACAACCCACACATATCTCAACTCATCCAACCCATCGACAACCCACACCTATCCCTACCCATCCAACCTATTGACAACCCACACATATCCCTACCCTCCAACCCCATCAACAACCCACACATATCCCTACCCATCCACTCCCATCAACAACCCACACATATCCCTACCCATCCGCCCCATCCCCAACCAACCCACATCCCTACCCATCCAGCCTCATCCCCAACCAACCCACATCGCTACACATCCAGCCTCATCCAAAACCAACACCCATCCCTACCCATCCAGCCTCATCCCCAACCAACCCACATCCCTACCCATCCAGCCTCATCCCCACCCTACACACATCCATCCCAATCCACCCCTATCATTACCTCATAACATCTATCCCCATCACCATCCAACCCCATCCCACACACATCCACATCATCCCCACCCGACACACATTCACCCCTAGAGGGGCCGCGTTTGGTGTTTGGGACGTTAAATCCTGTAAAACCAAACCCCGTCTCTCACCCCTCCACCCCCTTCTGAACCCATCCCCGTCCCCACTCCACGCTTATCTCTACTTGCACTCGCTACATAAGACATACAGGAGTAATAGCCGATCGAACAGATATATGCATGCTCTTTATCAGTTAGATGTATTGGTGTGTGTTCGTTGTCGTTATATATAGATAACCTGTTCACACTGTATATGTATATCACTGTGTAAACGTATACCGCTCCCTTTCCCAGTAAATAAACTTCCCCTTCTAGTTTTACTAGGAATCATTAATTTAGGCACACCCAAACTAAGTTAAAATGCTTTTTTTCCGATTTTTAAATTTGGATCGATTATTTGTCATAAATAATTAAAATATAATTTTAGGCCATAAGAAAATAAATTTTAAACGCCTTTCTTTAATTCTATATGGAAAACTGTCCACGTGATTTATGTAGCTATAGCAACGAGTATATAACAAGCTTCCTCGGAAGTTTCGGCTATAACGCAACTGATTTGGACAAGGTGTACATTGTGGGTAGGTTTTCCCTTTTTATTGTTTTGTTGATATTTGAATCGTTCTTATTATGTTCATATCATGTTTAATTTTGCTTCATATCATGTTTGGGGTTTTTTTCGTATGTTTTATTTTAAATATTGCTTTCTTGTTCAAGAAATTAATATCTTGTCGAAGCAAATTTAGGGCTTCATTATTCTATGATAAGTGGATTATAATTGTTTGATTCCTGCAGTATGTCTAAAGAAATCTTTGAAAATGAATAAAATTCCGAAACAAACTGCACCAAGCTGCATTAGGTCACAACGATGCAGTGTGTAATGTCGAAACTGTGGTGTTGCGTGATAAGTAACACCTTCAACAACAGCAGCGTCCTGGGAGTAAAGACCTTCACTGGTTAGATATACAAAACGAGAAAGAGTCACTTTTAAGAAATTTCCTTTATTCTCCTTCGATTTGTCCTTATATACTTTATAAGCAAAACACACTCCGGGGATGTTGTATCTCGTTCAAGTCCCATTCAACTTTGCCGAATATAACATTTCAGATATATCAGATTTAGTTAAAACATTATTGAGTTTTACAAAGATGACTTGTGTAAAGCACTGTAACAATAATGCCCTAGGAATGCTACTTCTACGTGAGGCACACGCATATGGCAAAACCTCGGTGACCTGATTAGGACCACAACTTGGACTCATCAGTAGTAATTAAGATCTCAAGAATTGAGAGGACAAAAATCCTATACATTTTCTTACCAGGGATAATTTCTCCTTTACTGGTATTTGTTGTAAACAGCGAATGACCAAAAAATTAAAAACGGCTCAATCGTTACGGCCAACCTTGGAGAATTATAGTCTACAAGCACAGTCATCAATTTTGTTACTAAAGTAATCACTAGAAACAAGATAAAAGGCAGATTTTGCCAGAGTCGACAGGTTTCTATTATTGCCTGCGTCACGTTAAACAATGTATCGCCGGTGCTGAACTGCAATACAAGTATAGTATAGATCGACGAAGGAAATGATTCTATAAAACCCTTCATTATGTCACATATTTACATCTTTAGATACCACAGATAATCTGTTCTTACACAAATTTAAGGTCGACCTCGGGGACTGATACTACATACACCAGCAGGATCAACAACCTTGTTACGTTATCACTAGACAATCAAAGTAAAGAAGCAAAATGGCAATCAATATAAGCATGCATTAAAATGTAACGAAGTTTCTTTAAAATCCTTTAATACTTTATAAATTTACAACTTTATTTATATATGCATTTATGTATATAACAGCGGAAATGTAAGCCTTCCTATAGTCAGAATAAAATATGTGTATCTGTGTAAGTTTGCCTATAACAGATCATTTATTTTTAAGTAAGGATTTCATATAAACTGTACAAGCCTTAATCATAGCAGCGCTGTTATGGACAGAGCGACGAAGGTTTAAACGCTGTTAAACGACATGTTCATAGACAGGGCAATAAAGGTTTAAACGCTGTTAAACGGCATTTACACAGACAGGGTGTTCCGTTCAAATATAGTTATATATAAATATCAAAATTCCTTTTCCATCAGTCAGTGGCTCATGACACACTTAATAAATAAACCCCCTTAAGGTGGCTCGACACATCGTCATCAGCGTCCATTTTCGTGACGTACTTCCGGAAAAAGTACAGCTCGGACTCAATTATCTTGATCGAAATGTGCATGTACACCGTGTCGTCATTTCCGTTTTGCGTATCGGGTATTCAATATCGTAGTGCAAATTATAGTAACACCTGGGCCGTTTGCGTTTAAACGGTCAAACCGATCGGACCACTGTTGTTCGTTTATTAAATAAGACCTAGTTATCTGATGCTGCTTTCAGGCGAGCCTTGAGAAAGCCTTGCACGTCTTGCATACACATTTTTAGGTCCGCCAGGATTTATACCCGGAA